TCACTCCCACCACCACCACCACCACCACCACCATCAACAAAAACACGTGTTTCTCTTGACTTTCCGTAAAAGGATGTGAAGTGAATGCGGGAAACGGAAGAATGAGGGGGATAGTACGGGCGAGATGGGGGATGCATTATTCTTGAAGAGACAAAACAAAAGGGAAATTAGAAGAAGAAAAGAAAAAAAAAAAAAAGGAAAAGGAAAAGGAAAAGATGTTCTGTGTGTCGGCATGCATGCATTTACGGATATATATATATATATATTTATTTATTTATTTATTTATTTATTTATTTATTTTACATTACGTGTGGGTGTGTCGATGGTGCCTGAAACACTGCATGAATGCGTGTGGTTTGTGTTTCTGTTTGTGGGAATATGTGACGATTTATTTCCTTTCTTTTTTTTTTCTTTTCTTTTTTTCTAATTTCTTTTCTTGCCACATGATTGTTGCGTTGAGGATGTTTCTGGAGTCCATCGCTCCTGCCATCGTCGTCATGCGTGCCCCTGGCACGTGATTGCACAAAAAAAAAAAAAAAAGGTGGAGGGGAGGGGAGGGGGAAAGAAGAGAAGCGGAAGAATGGCGGCTTTCACGTCGTGTCCCCACCACCATCGGCAGCAACGGCATCGTTGGGCACAGTTGGTGTTTATTCGTGAATCCCATCACGCAACGTTGTTTTAAGGCAGTTGCAGTGGAACGCCGTCTGTTTGGATGATATCGTCTTTTTCCCTATTTATTTCTTCAATTGCCGCGGGTGCATTTTTGGTCATAATCTTTAGTTTTCGCGCTGACGCCATTCCGCCATTCGCCGTTTGTTTGTTGTTGTTGTTTTTTTTTTTTCGCCGGTGTGCGTGCGGCAGTGGGAGTGTGTTCTGTTCTCTCTTCCCTAGTTGCCGTGCGGTCTTGTTGCCCTTCTTCTTGTATTATGGGCCTCCCTGGAGTGGCGTGTGTGGTGCGGTCTGTCCGCCATGGAGCCTCTCATTCCGCTTAACTTTTTGTTATTTTCTCTTTTTTTTTTTTTTCACTGTTTTTCCGATTTATTTAAGGGGGGAAGGGGCTCTCAGCAGCAGGAGGGAAAAGGGGGAAAAGAAAATTGCATGATGAAGCGTCAACTGCCGCTTTTTCTGCAGCCGCGCCGGCCAAGCTCTGCCCGCATTCAGCTCTTGACGTATCCCATGGCGTTTGCTCAGCCACAAGCCACAGTCCCGCTGCTGCGTGCGGGCACTGACGCAACAGATGGCGAAAAGAGTGCCCCGTCATCATCGACAACATCAAAGCGCGTGACAACGAGTCTTCACGTGAGGCTGCGGGACGTGACGAAGGAGTTTCATTGCCCTCAAAGCGATGGGAAAGCCATCGTGAACCCACGCCGCTGGGTGCGTGATCCGGACGAGCTTTGTGTGGCGTCTCTTCGACGGAGCAAAAACATAAATAGGATAAACACGTACGTGGCAACGTACAAGTTTGACGACCCGCAGTGGGCACCATTGCTCTTGCCGCGGGTGAGATTGCGGCCACGAAAACACCCTGTGAGGGACAGTACAAATGAGATGTCTGAGGCTGCCGCTTCCTCCACACCACCCAATGTGCCACCGACGTCAAGCGGTTCCTCGTCTTCATTGTTGGATGATAAAAATGATGGTGGCAGTCGTGTCGTGATCGACCACAACAAACTTCTCACGTTGGAGTGCATGTCAAGGCACGTGAACTTTTCTCTACGACACATCGTGCAAAAGGGCCACGCTGTCTACCTTTTACATCATGCCCAGCACAGCATCCTTCGACCAAAGGGAATTATAGAGCAGTCATTTGTGACGTGCTCGTTTGGTATTCGAGGAGAACGGCTACGCACGGAAATTGTGCATTTCGGTCCGCTTGACGCCATGGACGTTCTCGAGATCGAAGAGGGGCCGCCCGGACACACACGGTGCATCTTTAACTTTCAGAAATTAGACATTCCGCGTGGTGTCATCGCCGTCTCACAGGTGGAGGGATACGGCACGTGGTTTCAGCGGAAACCGATGCTCTGGCAGCGTTCACGCCGTATCGGTGCCCTGCAAAGTCAACTCGGTGCCTTCACGTATGATCTCCTCGCACCACATGAGGTGGGCAAAGAGCGTGAGTGTGAGGTTTCTCTGCTCGCGCCGCATATGCGATTCTTTGGTAATGGCACTGGCGGCTCGGAAGCTGTTGGCATCATTGCTTCCTCGCAGGTGGCACAGCAGGACCGACTTTATTTGGGTGAATTTGAGGCCCCCGCAATGACAGCACTCGATGCGGTGCAACAACTCGCGCATGCATCTGCCCTGCGCTGCCGGCTTGTGAGGCCGCTGCGAAGTAACATGGACGGGTGTGACGACAGAAGCGGTGAAAGTGAGGGGAAAGACGACGATGATGTGCTGGAGAAATTAGTGCCTTTGAGTTGGGCCACGCGCACACCACCGCCGTATGTGCCGCTGGAGGCGGACTTGCCATTTAAACTGCAGATGTCCAAACCGGCCGTATTTGGGAGCGAGGCGCAGCCGGAGCAGCAGCACGGCGTGTATCCGACGGGTGCGACGGTCGGCTCGCCCTTTGTTCGCGGGGCCCCGATCATGTTGTTTGAGTACAACCTCCATCAGGGCGTTGATCACTATGTCTTTGACAACGCCCCGAGTGCGAGGCCAATGAAATGGTGGTCGCAGAAGAGCAACCTGCCATACAGCGGGTACATGTTTTTTGCGCGCAGTGGGCTGATTGACCGCCTATCGCCATCGGAGGAGATCCCGAGCCCGGTCGAACAAACATCGCGACGCAAGCCACTTCATAAAATTGTCCCGCCAACAAAGAGAGTGCAACGCCGCGTGAGTCAGTACAAAAAACGTCTTTGGGAAGAGGCGGAGAGGGGAAAGGCGACACGCGAGGAATCCACAGGAGTGGCGGGTGCTGCTGTCGCCAGGAACGGCGGTCCAAGTGGCACTGGAGAGGGAAACCATTAGGACGATGGCCTGCCTCCCTGCCGGCGTCTGTAGAGGTGGACCGTGGCGAGAAGTGGAGGGAGAATTTTTTTTTGAAACAGGGAGGGAGAAAGAACCCGAAGAGAAGTGACGGCATCACAACGAGGAGTGAGGGGAAGATAAAAGAAAGAAGAAGAAGGCTGCAGGTGCAATTTTTGTTTCCTGGCGAATGAGCCCTGTACTTGTGGGATGACGGCCGTCATATCGCTTCACTTTGTTGCACATCTCTCTCTTTCTCTCTCTCCCTCTTTTTTTTTTTTTATTATTTGCCTTCTCTCACCCTTTTACTCCCCCTTTCTCATCAAACACACGGATTTGATTTTCATCCTTGTGCATTTTGATGATAACGACGGCGACACATGTGGGAGCCCGTCCGTTGTCGTTTGATGGGTAGCGCAGAAGCCGGTCATTCATTGATCCTGTCCGCTGTTGATCTGGGTCATAGCACACTCTCCGTGTGCATCCATACATACACACATACATTGCGTATAGGGGGATAGGGAGATACGTGTCTATTCATATATATATTTAATTGCGCATAAACAGAGGGAAATATCATTCATATACAGAAGAAAAAAAAAGAAAAAAAAGGAAAAGAAAAAAAAAAGGGGCAGTAGAAAGTCGTAATTGTGTTTATCCCTTCTTCGCCGGAATTTGCGTTGCTGGTCCGTGTGTCATGTACAGCAAGGGACGAGATGCATTGCGTAGGCTTGACATGGTGTTGGAGTCGCTACGTCAGGGGGCTCTCAAGGAGACACGCGCAACACGTGAGGAGGTGAAACGTTCTTTGATTCGCGAAGATGTTCATCGGCAGAATGAGGAGCGTCGACAACAACAACAACAACAATTGGGTATAGAACAGGAAATGTCTTCTTCCCCCTCCGTTGGGCGCGTTGGTGATCCTTCCATGGCTTCAGGGGGTTTTTCGACATCCAGTTTGGTTGGTTGTGGTGGGAATGACAAGAGCAGTGGGATGGGCGGAGCCAAAGGCCTTCCGGCGTGGTACGATGGGGATTACACGACAGCACCGAGGAGGGTAGAGAAAACGAAGAACGGCCGCGTTTCTACCGCCGACTGCGATGAGAGAGAGAGCAGCAGTGGTGGTGATGCAAAATTGCATGATGAGGAGAGCGCCATGGTCGTCGATGTCACCCAACGTGTATCGCAGGCCGAGCGCAAGCTTTATCCCATCCTTCTTGCCGATGTGGCCGAGTGTGCCAATGCGGATGAGAAGAATCGTGGGGGAAATGCATTAGATGTGGGCGGCAGTGAAGTCATCGAGTGGGACGATCGTGGAGCTCCTGTGCGGCTGCGGAGTACGTGGATGCCGGTCAGTCCACAGACACTTGTTCCTGTGTCAAGGACTGCGGACGAAAGTAAGGAGTCCGCGAGGAGCGACGTCATGCACTCCGGACGCACCTCCGCAGCGAAGACGATGACAACAACAACAACAATGCAGACAATTAGTTCCGACAAGAAGTTGTGCACTCAATTGCACGAGTACACTTGGAAGGAGGATCCGCTGGCGCCGATGCCCATGGCAGGACGTCCGGCGGAAGAGGGCCCTTCTCCTCCTCCTGTGGGTTTGAGTGGCACAAGCAGCAGAGGAGCAGTGAATCGCATGCGGCAGGCGCTGCCTTTCTCTCCTAACCGGGGCAACAGCACACGTCGTCGCAACAGGCCGCCACTCTCCACGGAAGGTACGGCCGTCGCCGAAAGTAGTGCCAGTGCCATCGCCAGGCAAATCCGTCAGGCTGTGGTGAAGCAGCCAACGGCCAGCGTTGAAGTGAATAAAAAGAAAGCCGGGAGTGAAAGTTTTTCCTCTTTTCCGGTGATTCACGGCAGTAGCGGTCGCTGCTCCGTGTTGTATGAGCCGGACGAGGCGGAGTGTGTCATCACACACGTGCTGAATCCGGTCACGGCGTTCTTCTGTACATCCTGCGGGGTCTGTGTCGCGCGAGAAATTGTGACAGGTGAGCCGAACAGCTGCACCGCGTGTGGTGAACCCTTTGAGGCGCTCCCACCACTACCATCGCCACGCCTGAATGGATGCCTCCTGGACACGGTTGTGACGGAGACCAAAAGTGTTGTTTCTTTGCGGGAAGAGGGTGTGCCAGCAGGAATCTCGGCTTCAGTGAAGAAGTGCACGGCGACAACTTCAACCATGACAACAACAACAAGCACCACCACAAGAGACATTAGCACGTTGCCCATGACAGCGAAGGTGACTGCAGGGACGCAGGCCGGCACCAGTTGGAGTATGCCCCCTCTCGCTGCGACTGCCGTGCAGGGGCTTTATTTCCTGCACCTATGGGATCAAGCAATTGCTCTCTAGCACAAATGAGAGAAAATGGACCGCTTGAATTCTTTTTTTTTTCAAGCGGCGTTATTACGATGCCTTTAAGAGCTCACTCTCTTTTCCCGTTATGTTTATTTATTTGCTGGTAGATGGTGATTCATACACGTGCGGCCCATCCCGTTTTTTTGGTTTGTTTGTTTGTTTGTTTGGTTTTTCGGTGACGCTGCCCCCTCTTCAATTTGTTTTTCTCTCCACTTTCACTCACTCGCTCTCTCCGTCATTTTCACTGCCACAACTGAGGGGTATAACACGTCATTTTACCGAGTTTGTCTTCTGCATTTTATTATATTTTTTTTTTTATTATTCCACTAGATTTATTTTTTTTATTTATTTACTTATTTTTGGTTTTGCTCCTCCGGCTGGCGGTACCATTTGGGAAGAAGAAGAAGAAGAAGGCGTAAATTCAAAAAGACCCTCCTGTGTGACTCGTGTACGAAGCCAACCATACATATATACATTGAGAGAAAGGAAAAGAGAGAGAGAGAGAGAGAGAGAGAAGTACTCAAAGAAGTGTAAATGCTCCAGTATTTAGTTCGGCAGGTCCTTTGGACCATCAGCGTCTCAGCGCAGCTGCTCGCAGCAATGGGCCTGGGCTTCAAATGGATTTCAATGGCCATTCGTTTACTCGTCTTTGCGCTGCTCATCCTGTGGTACTTCATCCCACACATTTGTGCGTACATCATGTCGCCAAATATCATTCGCCGTGTCTCGTACCGCTCCTCCAAACGGACACGGCAGCGCAACCTGCAGATATTCCTCCAGCAGGTCAAAAGTATCCCCCCGGTGAGGCGCAAGGAAAACGGGCGTGAGGTCTCAGAGGACCCCGCTGAGCAGCGCTCTGGCCCTGATATGGATGCGGTTGAACTGCTGGCAACGAAGCTAAACCCCGCCGATGGTCGGTTGATGATGGGGCTGCCGCGGCGGCTTTCTTCCCCCACGCGAACAACAGAGGTGTTGGACGACGAAAAGGTGATGAAAATCGGCTCCTTCAGCGACACCGTGGCTTTTATTCAAAGTTACTACGCCACTGCTTCTGCTGGGGAACATGCGGCAAGTAACGGCGTTCCAGCGGGGGAGCATAAAAATCCTGACTGGGCGTCGGACGCGGCCCAGGAGCCGAATTCAACGGGAGATTCAGAAGACGAGGAGGACGAAGAGGACAGGAACAATCTTCATAATCGCGCTGCACTTGACATTTACTTGCCGATTCCCCTTGACTCCCTGTTTCGCATGATGGAACAGGAGAAAAAGATCTCGCCACGATCAAGACTTCAGCACAAAAAATTCCCTGTTGTGATTTCTTTTAATGGCGGTGCATGGATTGTTGGGTTTTACCTCTGGAACTTTCTTTTGGCTCCGCTTCTTGCAGCACGTGGGTATGTTGTGTTCTGCCCGGACTACCGTAACTTCCCACAGACAGACATGGAGGGAATGATACTTGATGTGTCAGACGCCATTGGATGGGTGATAAATAACGCTGGGCGCTACGGTGGGGATCCCGAGGACATCACAGTCATTGGGCAGTCAGCCGGCGCTCATCTCACGATGATGTCAATTCTTTCCCAGGCGCAATTGAGCGCGCGTGCTGCGTCTGGTGGGACAGCACCAAGCGACATGGCGTACAATGTACCCCGATACAACCCTCGGGTTTCCATTCGTCAATACATTGGACTGAGTGGCATTTATAATATTCGCGGTCTGGTGAAACATTTTGATCGACGAGGGCTTTATCGCAATGTGCTCTACCAGATCGCCGGTGGCCGCTCCAATCTGCCCCGGTACTCGCTGAACTCTTACTTTGATGAGCGTCGCTGCGGTGACACAGGGGAAGTGCTGCCAGAAAACATCTTTGATTTTCTCCCGCAGCGCATGTACTTTATTCACGGAGATGCGGACTGCAGTGCCCCGTTTTCAGAGTCGGCAAATCTCGCCTTTTTCATGCGGAACGCCCAACGTGCACGATTGGCCGAGCAATACACAAATGGTGGTCAAACTATGGGCATCTGTCTGGCACCACCCGTGGATATAAAGTACATTTTGGTGCCAGGAGCAACCCACACGGATGCCATCATTGAAGAATGCCTGGCGGCGAGGGAGAGCCACGTTGTTGATTTTTTGTGTTACTACAGCACCGACAATGAAGAGCGGGATAAATGCCTCAACAACAGCAACGGCTTTCGCGATGTGAATAACAAGAGGGACGAGGACGATGGCCAACTTGACCCATCAAGACACCCGGACGGCGTACTGCCTTCGCCCGCACCGCACAGCGAGAGACCGATGCTGATACGATTGAGCAGCTACGTTTGTCCTTTCTGAGAGCGTTTCCTCTTTCTTTTTTGTTTTTTTTGTTGTTGTTTTTGTTTTTGTTGTTTTGCTCTGTGTATGTAATCCGGCTGTTTTCTTTTCTTTTTTTTTTAGACTGTCGCTTTTAGTCATTTCTCTCTCTGTGTGTCTGGTGTGAACGATTGCGGCTCGGGTGGATCATTTGTTGTGTTTTGTTTTTGTTTTTGTTTTGAATCGCGACGTCTGTTTTTTGTTGTCTGTTCTTCTCCCTTTTCGAATATCCTTCTCGTCGGTAAATGTGTAAAATTTTCCCTTGGCTGCCTTTACTTATTGAGTGCGCATACACACACACACACACACAATTAATTGCTGTGGATATGTCTCTCTCTCTCTCTCTCTATTTCTCTTGCTGGCAGCAGCGACGACGTTTCCTCCTTGCCGTTATTTTGCTGCTGCCAGTTCTTTTCATGACATGTCTGCAGTTCATGCGTGTGTATGCTGCCTGATTTCTGCTGCCATTTTGAGCACCGCCTCCCTCCCTACAAACACCCACCACAAAAACAACAGGGAGGCGAGGAAAGGAAACGTACAAAAGAAAGGTGGAGAGAAATGGGAAGGTTTGATTGCAACCGACTCTGAATTTTTTAGCGATGTGAAGAGGAGACGATGACAATGACAACCGCACCGGTGCGTAGCGTGCAGTGAAACAACATATATCTTTATATTTACAATAATTTTTAAGGGATCAAGCATAAAACCTGCTGCTTTGGGCAAGGAAAAAATAATTCTTTAAATGGAGGTGTCTTTTTTTTTTTTGGGGGGGGGGGGGGGGGGGTGCTGCGCATCGTTCCCATGCAAGAGGAGGACGAAATGTTCGATCGTGCCCAATTTGGACAACGACACACAGAGAAGGAATGGACGTTGTTAAGTGACGAATCGTATTTTTCTTTATTGATATTTTGTCATGCGTGCGGGCTGCGGCGCCTCTCGTGTGAGTTTTGATAATGACTGACGCCTGAAATGCGAAAGCCCACCATTTTTTTTTTTTGTTTGGTTCATGGTGTGTTTGACTGTGTGCGTTGATTTTCGTGCGGGGAGGGAGGAAGTTGGGGCGCACTCGGGAGAGGTGAGTTGTCGCCCAGTGTACTTACTGGGGAGCATTTGTGTTTTTGTTGTTGTATCATCGCCCTGTTGTTCTTGTGGAATTGTGTGGGGAGCCACCCTCTCCCTTCTTACACCCGCCCAGAAACCATCATCTGCACACTGTGTCCATTGCCCCTGTGATGACGCATGCATGCATGCACACACACACAATAACTGCCTCTTTTTTTGATTGGCGTTAAAAGATGGTTTTAAGGGTCACGGAAGTTGACAAAACTCCGTTGGGTACTTTGTTATTCTTTTTCTTTTTTTTAGCGAATTGTGTAAATGATGGACGTGGACGACGTCATTACCCGTCATCGGGCCCGTCTTGACGAGCACCGCAAGTTTCTGCACACCAGTCCGGCAGGTAGCACAAATCCACCCAAGAGCCCCGATGGAATCAACAGCAGCGGCATACTGAAAACCGTCACCAGGTTTCATGCGGTGGGGGACAACACCTTTTCGCCGCTGCCTGCGTGGCCAGGGAGTGAGGCGTGCTTTGATGTCTCGCCGCAGCCGGACATTAATTCCCTCAAGCCCGGGCGAGACAAAAAAGGTCGCGTGAAAAGTGAACCCAGTAAGAAACTTCTGCGCGAGCCGAAAACTCTCATGGGGTCTGCGGATGTCACGCCTGAGAAGTTGAAGGCTCAGGCGGCTTCCTTTTCTGGGAGGGCCCTTGAGGCTGCGCCGCGTCGGGCATCCAGCGGTCCAGTTTTGATGCTCAGTAGCGACAATAAGAACAACAATAATAACCGCAACAGAAAACTTCATGATTGGCTTGCTGAGGAAGAACGGTTTTTTGATTCCCAACTGAAGGCCGTTGGTCGTTACTACGTGACGAAGCCCGAGGCCATGTACGCCAAGTCACAGTTGTGGCTTGAGAGTCGGGAACGGTCTCTCCAGCGGCTGCAGGAGGAGTCTCAGCGCGATGTTCTCGGTGAGTGTTCATTTCAGCCGAATGTGGCGGGTTCGAGGAGTTTGACGCGTCGGTCGAGCTCCACCCACGCCATTTCAAGTTTTTGCGAGGACCCGAGTGTGGCGGCCCACTTGGAGCGAATGGAAGAAGCACGTCAGTTGCGTGTGGAGGCCGAGAGGCGAGTGAAAGGCAAGAAGGCGGGGACGTGGACAAACTCAATTACAGTGCCGAAGGAATTTGAATTTGCCAAGAAGGTCGCTGTCATTCCGTCACTTCGCAAGCCGCTCGTTAATGTCGTTCCACTGCATGACGACGACGAGGTGAAGGAGGAGGGGGCGAAGCCGCGCACGGATGGAAATTGTGCGGGCGTCGCGTGTGGGGATCTTCTTGTTAACACGAAGGCAGTCGCGACCCAGCGAAAACGTCATGGGGGTGAAGAAGAAGAAGAGGAAGGACGAAAAAGGGAGGAGGCGAAGGTGCGGGATGCCTCTGTGCGAAGTGCCAAGGCCGTGTCGCAGCTGAAGGTGGTGCCGCTGCTGGAGGCCACAATTGTGCAGCTCAAGGAGGAGTTGGCGAGGAAGGATGAACAGCTGCAGGCGCAAAAGGGGGAATTGGCATTGCTGTCACGTGAGTTGGAGGTGGCCAAAGCGACGGTACGACGTCTTTCCCTGCAAGATGTTGTGAAGGTGGAGGAGGGGGAGGAAGAGAGGGGCACGACGCCTGGTCCGACCTCGCCTATGGATTGCCAAGAGAGCACCGAATCAAATGCATGAAGAGACGGATTCAATGTTGGAGGGACGTTGTTGTTGTTGTTGTTGGCATTGTTGTCTTTTGTACGGCAATAGTGGAGCAGTAGAATTTTATATATAAAGACAATTTTATTTCTCTCTCTCTCTCTGTGTGTGTGTGTGTGTTACCGTTTTTTCCCCCTGTTTGTTTGTTGGGCGTGTCTGGGGAGGAGGGAGGGGGAGAAAATAATTGTTGATGTCACTGTCTCTTTTCTCTCTCTCTCTCCCTCTCTCCCTCTCGTTTGTTTGTTTGTTTGTTTTTTTTAATATCGTCCGTCGTTGTGTCTTTTGTTAACGTTCTGTCAGTTTGTTTGAGCCTACACTCAGCGATTTTATTGTTGTACGCCACTCACTCAACCATTCCTTTCTTCCTCACTGTACGACTGTGTCTGTCTGTCTGTCTGTCTGTGTGTCTGTGTGTGTGCGTCTCTGTTTGGTTCCCAACACCGCCAGACACACGCATATATACAGCGACGGGAAAAAAAAAAATTTTTGGCAACCGAATGCATTTATTTCTGAATCTTGTGCACATGCAATAAACCGGGCACACGCACCTTTTCATGCAGAAGTGTTTCGTTTTGATGCCTTTTTTTTTATTATTCGTTTTCTCTCTTTTTCCTCGTTTGCGGTGGCCCACAAGTCCGGAGGTGAAGAAGGGCTTCACAGACAGACAGAAAGGAAGAGAGAGAGAGAGAGAAAGAGAAGGAGAGAAATGATAAATGTATTTATTCATATTGGTTAGTCTTATAAGTACACATGTAGGACGGGCGAAGGAGAATGGAGAGGTGTCAGGGGCGCTGAAGTCAAGTGTTGCGCTCATTCTGATGCTGTGTGCTCCCCTCGCACAGACGGTGATGGGTTTCGGAGAGGAAACCAAAGTACATGCCGTGTACAAGCTGTCCGTGGTGAATGATGCATTGGTCTCACCAGAGCATGTGCGGTGTGTTTCCAACAAGAGTGAGAAAGGGCTTGTAGAAGAGGTTTACTGTGCCTCCGGTGCAGGACGTCTGGTGCGTCGCCTTCTTTACGTTGACACCCGCGCTCCGCCCGGTATCGTCCCCGATTTCAATGAATCCCTTATTTTGGGGATTTCACTTAATGACTGCATGAAAAGTTGTGCCGTGGGGGGTTGGAAGGAAGAACATGACGGGGATGTTGACACACCGGCTGTATTGGGACTGCAAGTGGCTTCACCCTGCTGTGGGTCGAGGCACTCGGCGTTTGTTCTTGACGTCCCCAGGAGAATTATAAAGCAATTCTACGCTCTGTCCCACATCACCCTTTCAACGGAGAGGTTTGATTGCACCATTCGGTACGTGTACCAGGCGTTTTTGTCACCGAGTGATGTGGGGCTTTCATTTCCCGTGGAACTGTACTTTTGTGAGGCGCGTATTTCCAACATTATTAGCGAGATTAGCGGCCGCAGTATCATGGGGCTTCTGAGGGCCGAGATAAGTACGAGAAGGGCTGTTGAAGGCATTCTTCTTCCCCGCGAGGTGCTCAGGAGCATACCTGGATGGATTGGCAGTGCCAAGAACTCCGACATGTCACTGCAGGACGTTGGGGCCTGTTCATTTGAGAAGCACGGGGAAGCAAAGGCATCCACGGTGGGGCCGAGAGAACAGCTCGTATGCAAAATCCCCACGGAGCTCCGGGGTTCACTGCCGGCGCTAAAAATTGTGGTCGATGTGTGCGGCGGCACATCTTTACAAAACTTTGAGAGCTCTTCTCTTTTTGTAGATTTTAACCAAATGATTGATGAGGAGGGATATTTGCGCCTGGACTCATCGGGGTCCATAAGCGCCGCACTGGAGAAAGAGGCGGACCTCCTGCAAGTACCAAAAGTTGTGATTGGGGCGCTGTTCCTGCGGGACCTTATTCTTTCCCTTTCCCGCAATTCTGATGTCCAATCGCCTGCGTCGGGTCTGCCGTTGATGTCCATGCGGGCATCGAAATTTAACTCGAATGGCCCCATCCCGAAAATAAATGAATTACCGAAGGAGAAAAGTGCATGTGCCGCATCGAAGGAATGTAAAAGTGGCGAAGTGCGCTTTGTGAGTCTCAACCGTTGTGGCACATCGACGGATTGCAGCAATTTTCTTCCATACCACTACAATCCAACGAGTCTGCGCTGCGAGTTAAATGTGGACCTCGTCTTGGCGCTGGGTACGCTGGGGGTCCTTTTCATTCTTACCGAAGTGGCGGTGCTGCTGATGCGGCGACACATAGGGAAGCTGCTGCAGAGTGCTGCCGGTGAGGCGTTGGCGCTCAAGAGAAAGTGACACCACGTGGAGATGAGGGTGAGGACCGACTTGATTCTTTCTTCAAACCCCACGTCCGTGAATGGACACGCTACAAATCGCATCTTGTTTTTATTTTTCCTACCGGATGTTGTGCAGATTTGTTGTTGTTGTTGTTTTCATTTTTGATTTGTGTATTGTTCTTCTTACTTTTCTTGTTGTTGTTTGAAGCGAGGGGTTGAGTGCTCTGCTTCACCCTCTACTGCTGCTCACTTTGTTGATGACGTGCATGCGCGCTTGTGTGTTTATTTTATGTTGCATTCGACTTGGGGTGTCATTTCGTCGCATCATAATTTTTTGCCTCTTTTCTTTGTTTTTTTTTGTTGTTGGCTTTGGGTGCAGCGGTAAGGCAAAGCGTGTGGCACACACACACACACAAAAGAAGAAGGAGGGGAAAGAGGGTGTGTGGTTATGTAAGCATGCGAGCGCTAGAAGATGGTGAGCATTCCCCTGGAGATCGTTACCCTCTCGTAATGCGGGCCACACATGTTTACGACGCGCCTAACAACAATAGTAGCAATGATGATAATAATAATAATAATGTGGGGTTCCATGAAACGGCTCCAGTGCGTGTGTTGGCTGTGGCGCCGTACAAGTTCACATTCAGCGCCCCTGTGAAAGGCCGTTGGCTCGGGCTTCCTCTTTTGACTTTGTTCGCGAAGGAGTTTGCATACATCCCGCCAGTCGCGGCAGGCAATGAAACGCCGCGGGCTAGTCGCGACCCCCGCGTCACCATCCCCGCGTATGTGGAGGAGCTCCGCAAAGGTCTTCTTTGCTTGCGTGGGCGGGAAGAAGAATGCCGAGCCGCCGGCGACGCATATGCCGACGAACTCCGCCATCTACGCCCATTGCCCCGGCCCAATGAAAATGCCGATGCGACACGAGGGTCGCCGGTAGAGGGCATGGCAACGTGCTCAGACGCGGAGACCATGACTCTGCTGCTTAGCGCCGTGTCACCACGCCTCTTGCTGCGGCAGAAGGACGTTATTTTACATCATGTGCTCCGTCGTGAGGCGCCCATGCCAGACGGTGACCCGGTGCACATTCTGCGCTACGACCACGTCCCTTGCGGGTCGCCACCTCGCCGGCTGCTCTTTGTTCGCAAACCTCACGGGTTACCGGTACATCCCTCCGGTCGCTACCGCAAGAACTCTGTGACGTCCATCTTGGAGGACGTCTTTGGGGGAACCGATGCCCACCGCTACCGCGCCATCCCGCTAAAAAAGGAGGAGGACAAGAGGAGGAATGTGCCGCAACCAGCGGACGGCGTGGAGTGCATGGCGATCCGCCACAAACGGTACGATTTTGAACTCGTCCGTGTTTGGGTTGGGGACGGTTATGTGACCCGTGACGCGTGGGAGGAGTTACGCTCACGGATGACACGGCAAACTCCGCACGGGCTGAAGGTCTTTGTGGTGCATCGTCTTGATGCTGCCACAAGCGGTGTTTTGCTCTTCGGTCTGGACTCGCGCAGCGCCCGCATGACAGCCGAGCTCATGGCGCAGAAGGGTGTCCCGGATGACAAGGACGCATTCATGCCAGTGGCTGGATGCACAAAGCAGTACATTGCACGTGTACACGGCCGCTTTTGTGTTGACAAGTTGGCAGAGACACAACACCACTGCACCTACGGTGACCGCAAGCTTTTCGCTTCATCTTCTCTGAATGAGAGCTTGGGAAAACTTAGCGCCAGGCCCGCGTGTTGGCTGCGGGTGGATCGTTTAATTGGATGTTTGTCGTACCACAAGAGTCTCTACTGGTGTCCCGATGCCGCGCTCACAGAGTCTTGGTTGAATGAAAAGGAAAAATGGGAGAAGGACGCGAAGGAGCAACAGCAGAGCGCGTCTATGGTGAAGGGGCATGCAGCAGGGCGAAAGCGGGGCGCACCTTTTGGCGACGCCGCCGCCCTGGAAGCCAAACACGAACGCATGCGGCAGTTGACTCGTGGCGGGCGCGCAAAAGCAACAGCAGCAAGCGATGGAGAGGTGAACAATGACAGCAGGCACCCGGTGGAAAGTACCTCGAAAATTCAGATGCAACGACTGAAGGAAAGTATGAAGCAGGCGATTACACTCATTCGCCTTCTTGCGTACGATGCCGCATGTGATGAATCCGTGGTAGAGTGTCTTCTCCTTACCGGCCGTACGCATCAAGTGCGTGTTCACTTGGCCTCATTGGGCCACCCGATCCGCGGGGACAAGAAGTACATTCGCCTCGCCGCCGATTCCCCTTCCATTCCTTTGCGAACAGACTTGAGGGACGAAGAGGAGGAGGACGAGGAGGAGGAGGAGGAAGAGTCAAAGGGATATCTGTCGTCTCACGGTATTTTCTTGCATGCGTGGCGCTACACTCTCCGTTACGCTGCCGGTGAGGCACCGGAGGTGCTGGAGGCACCGCCACCCGCGTGGGCTCTAACCGGCGAAGAAGGAGGAGCGATCACTGATCCGATGGCATCTTCCTGCGTGTAACGCAACGTGACTCTTCATGTCTTATTCTGGTGTTACTTTTTTATACACACACTTATTTATGCCTCCGTGGCTGCGTTGAGGCCGTGATTCCGTCGTCAGGCACTGGTCAGTTTTTATTGTTGTTGTTGTTGTTTAATTGGTCATTTGTTCTTTTTTGACTTTATTTCTCTTGACTCTTGTGGCCGCTATTATTTTTTTTTTTTTCACTTTTCTTCATGTTTTTTCTTTTTTCTGTATCGACAGTGTGAGTCTCAGCCGCCCCCCGCTAATTTACTCTCAAGGGAAATGTCCTCCAAACAGCAGCTTGCCTGCACCTACGCCGCCCTGATTCTTGCCGATAGCGGCAAGACGGATATGGACAGCCTGTTGAAAGTGACAAAGGCCGCCGGTGTTGACGTCAGCAAAGGGATGGCCTCGGCGTTTGCCAGCATCCTCAAGAACGTTGACATCAACGACGTGCTCTCCAAAGTGAGCTTTGGTGGTGTTGCTCCTGCTGCCGGTGGTGCCACCGCTGCTCCTGCTGCTGCTGCCGCCGCCGCCCCCGCCGCCGCCGCCGCCGCGAAGAAGGAAGAGGAAGAGGAAGACGACGATATGGGCTTTGGTCTGTTTGACTAGGCGCAGAAGCCCCTTTCTTGAAGGATTTACACACAAGTGGCATGGTTTTGTTTTTTGTGTTTTGTTTTCTCAAATATTTATTCACTCAACAAAAAATGAGTATATATATAAATTGCGGGGACTCTCCGTCATTGCCTTGGGCGAATTTTCATGGCCCTCTGTGTTGTGTTGTGTTGTGGGTATTTTGGGAATCTTTTTTTTTTCTTTTTTGCCTGGGTGCACCTTGCCGTTTTTCTCCCTCTCTCTCTCTCTGTTGTTGTCCGAGAGTATTCGCGGTGGGAAATGGAAACCTTGCCGCCGGCGTCGGCAAATGGAGAGGCCGTGGTGTCCCGGAACCCTATTTTATTTGTTTCCTACAATGAGAGCGGTGGTAGGCGTTATACGGACGATCTCTTCCCGCGTAAGGATCGACGTGTGCTCGTCCTTTATGTTGGCGGTACTATTGGTATGACATGGACGGCAAATGGTGTGCTGGAGCCGTGCAAGGGATACCTGACGCAGGTGGTGCGGGGGATGGGGGAGCTGCAGCAACGGCCGGAAATTGCCCCGTTTGACATTGTAGAGTACGACGAACTGCTTGACAGTAGCGACATGGATGGTCGTGACTACATGCGTATTGCCACGGATGTGGCCCGTAATTACGATGCGTATGACGGCTTCTTGATTTTGCACGGGACGGACACGATGCACTACACCGCCAGCGCGCTGAGTTTCCTGCTAATGAATCTTGCCAAACCCGTCCTGTTGACAGGCTCCATGGTGCCGCTGGTTGAGCCGTATAATGATGCCCGGCGCAATATTGTGGTCAGCCTCATGCTGGCCTCAAATCCCAGCATTCGGGAGGTGTGTGTCTTCTTCAACGACTGTCTGCTGCGTGGAAACTGCTGCTGCAAGCTGCACCATACATTTGGGGCCTTCTGCAGCCCGAATTACCCCGTACTGGGAATGGTGGAGTCGACGGGCTTCCACCTTCGCGAGCAACTGCTGCTGCCGCAGCCGAGTGGACCACTGAAGGTGCAGTCCAACATGCGAGGCCGCGTGGTGGTGTTTGCGCTACACGCCGAGTGTGATAAGAAAGTGATGAAGCAACTGCTGTTGGAGGACGAGGTCGCAGGAGGGACCCCGACAACAACGCCCCTCGCCGTGCAAGAGGAATCGCCGTCCAGCAGCACCGAAGGAAAAGACAACAGCGAGGCGGACCCCGACAACCAGAAGAAAAGGAAAAATACCCAAGATGCTGATAGTGTCGCTGGGGACGGCCGGCGAATAAATCCCGCCGTCGCCAACACATGCCCAGGGCCGAAGAAATTGATGGATGCGGTGTTGTTGGAAATTGGTGGTGTTGGGGCGTTGAACAGCGAGTCCTCTTTGGTGCTACGTGAGTTGGCGAGTGTGGCCAAGGCGCGTGATATTGTCTTGTGTGCGACGGTGCAAGAGCCCTTTGGGAGCCTCTCAAAATCGGAGATCTGTCGGCTGCGTGGCGTCTCGCCAGATCTCATATATTTGCATATGACAACTGCGGCGGCGGAAACGAAGCTGATGTACTTGTTTGGGAAGGGCCTTTCGCCGGCTGCCGTGAGGAAGCTGTTGCCACGCAACCTCCGTGGTGAGGTCACTCCAGGTGCAGCATGCGAAGCCAACCTGTAAAAGTCAAAAAATATGTGTGTATGCAAACTGTTGATCCTTGGGGATGGTTGTGGAGATATTTCTTCATTAATAAGAATAATAATAATAATAATAATACACTTATTCATTTTATTTTTTAATCTGAGCACATGCGTGGTTTTTATTGACTCCTCCTCTTTTCCCGCTTTGATTGTTCCCGTGTGCTGTCTTCTGTACGACCCATCGCTATGGGTGAGAGGGAGAGACCTGTCCTTTGTCTTTTCGTGCCACCAGACATCCACGCACTAATACCGGGTTGGCACATTTCATGCATTAGCATTTGTGCATACCCGGTTTGGGTGAGGAACGTGACGGCGGGCCGCCTAACGGGGGGAGGGGGGGGGGAATAAGGAGGCAAAAGAAAGCAAAAAAGAGAGAGAGAACAGGGAGGAGAAATATTATCTTTTTTTTCAATTTGCTTCTGTTTGTGTTTATGTGTGTGCGTGTAATGTTTATACTCTGAGAAGGAACGAGGACCATTCGTAGCTGTTCTTTTATTCATGTTTCTTCATTTGGGTTGTTACGGGTTAGTCACTCGGCGAATCCTCTTTGTAGGGGCTCTTCCCAATCGCTCTCTCTACGTGCACATATATATATATATATATATTTGTATGTATGTTGCCGCAGTGGTCGGGCGGGAGGATGGAGGCGGGCAGTGGCCAGAAGGACAGAAACAACAGCGAGGCTTCTTATTTTCTGCAGAATGAGTTGGCCAGGCTGCGAGAGGCAAAGGCCGGTGGTAACTGCAACCGTGTAGCGGATGATGCAGGGATCACCATGAACCAAAGTCGGATGCCGGGAAGGGAAAACGAAACGACTCGAGCCCAATTACCAAACGAGTTTGACAGGGCGCACCGACTGCGGCAGGTTCAACAAGAACTGCCTACTTCCCAGCCCTCCTTTCGGCAAGCGGAAAGCAGAATTGATAGCGTGAGGCTTCCCTCAGAGGCATTACGTCGTGCCGTGCGGGCCGCATTTGGGCCGGGCAGGTTTGTTTTGGACGATGGCACAGCCGTCATGTTAGAATACGCCCATGATTTTATTGTCTTACGCGGTCCACAGTCCGTTCGGCACTCGTTCATGGCCCTGCTGCTGCGCACCTTGCTGAAGCACGTGGAGAGCACGCCACAGCAAGAACAGGGGAACAGTGGCAAAGAACGCCAAAACCTCAGCTCTACGCATGTGATTTCGTCGTCCATGGCGGAGGTTGGGGAGTCCAGGGAAGATGATCCCACTGGGCCGCCACTTTATGTGCTGCGTCGAGCGATTGGAATGGAAAAAATGGAGCGCGAGAAGGCGCAATTGGCCCAACACGATGCGGAACATGAGTGTGCGTTGATAAAGACCGCGTGGGATGTCGAGCGCGCGCGTTACAGGGAGGAGAAGCAAAGATTAGAGGAAAGAGTACGGCAGCTGGAGACGGATCTGAAGCGGAATAGAGACAGCCTCCAGATCGCCCTGCACCGGCTACAGGAAAGAGAGCCGCAAAAGAGGGAGGTGAGCGGCGATCGTCACGCTGACGACGTAGAGGCATTTTCGTGCCAGCACGGCGAGGACATCCGTTCATTTCCCGGCGAGGGAGGAAAATCCAAAATACATGGGATTCCCTCGGTGTCACTTGAGACGGGCGACACATCCTCGGTGCTGCCGTGCTCCGAGGGGAATGATATAACGACGACGAACACCGCCGGTAACACCAGTCATGCCGATTTTTCCTCTCTTGCATGCGGCAAATGTGGGAAGACGATGAACCTTCTTCAGCGGGAGATGGACCTGCTGCGGAATGAGAAGGATATTTTGTCACGACAGCTGCAGGTCAGCGTGGGCGTCGTGGATGAACTGCGCAATCGACTGCAGAATATTGAGGCTGCGGCGGTGCAATTGTTCAGCAGTGTGCTGAGCTCAAGTGAAGTTGTGTTGACGGTTCTTAAGGGCGCAGCGGCGGCACCCCGTCTGTTTCTTCATCGCTGCGGGGGCGTTGACGAGCCCCAAGTGCAGGCGCTGGTGCAGTCACTCTCCGCGGACAGTACCACCGCACCGCCGGTGGAGCAGCGGCTGGCGGAGTTGACGGCTCTACTGGAAATTGAGCATCGCGCGTTGAAGGCATCACTTGACTTTGCCGTACATGAACGTGATGCCGCCTTGCAGGCCAATCGAGAGGAGGCATTTCTTACCTCTCCGGAAAAAGCCGCCGTGTCAGCACCGCTGACGAGAAGGACGAATTTGGATGGACGCACCGCAAACACGTCGAGCGCGACGACCCTCGAGAAGGAAAACACGGAACTGCGCATTGAACTCCGGCGCTCCTTTGAGGATATACGGCAGTTGGGACAAGCCATTGAGCGATCCCATGCAATGTATCAGGAGTTGCAGGAAAAGCTGCGGACGGCTGATCGATGTATGCGGGAGAAGGAAAAAACGGCTCGAAGTATGGGGCATCAGCAGGAAATTGCGTTGATGGAGGCAATAAAGAGGGAGAGATCGCTGGAAATTCAACTCCAGCGTCTACGGCAACAGAACAAAATGAGTGCCGTGCATCACTCGAATACCCCCATTGTGCACTCCGAAAAACAAGAGAAGACATTTGCGCATCTCGTAACGACACCCTCAAAAAAGAGTTGTGCGGCGAGTGTTTTAACGCTTGATGAAAGCCGGAATAAATACCCGTTCCATCATCGACATAATACCGACACTCGGGAGAATGATTCTGTTAGCAGGAATGACGGCCTTCAAAGCGGACCCCGTACGACACCAACACCGCTGAAGGGGACAGGGGCACCAACGCCCTTCTCTCCGTCGATAGTGCTGCGCAGGGAAAATTTTGAGGAGGCTCTAAATGCTATTCATCCTTCATGAGAACAATGAGAGGGAAAACACGGCAATGAACGTTTCACACGCATGCCGAGAGAAAACGATTGGGAGTGAAGTGACAAGGAGAACCGTGTGGGTGGGTGTGTGTGTGTGTGTTCGTTTGTTCCATCCCCATTCATCTCCTCGCAACGAGCGGTCCAATTGTTATATATATATTGCCGTTCCTGCTGTTTATTATTATTATTATTATTTTACTCCGGAGCATTTGTGTAGGGGAGGGGGAAAAGAGGGGAATTTGAAGAGGAAACGACGACAAGGGGGAGGCGGGGAAGGGGAAAGAAGCGCAAAGCTTTTGAGGACCACAACAACAAAAAAAAAAGGAAAAAAGCGGCAAATTTCAAAAGGAAGGAAATATTTTTTTTTTAAAAAAAGGCATTGCGGGAGTAGGAGATGGATAATGAGGTGACATGGAGTTCTTTGTTTCTCCCCCTGGAGGAAGAGGTCGTGTTCGCATCCTTCATAACAATTTTGTGCCCCCTTCAGCGGCAGAGGCAGCAGCAGCAGGAAATGTTCTCGCGTCGGGAGACTTCTTCAGAAGGGGACGAACAAACCCGTTTTGCATCTGGGTCGATTCTCTACCATGCGGCGGACGAAGATGCTATGGGGTCGCCCCTTTTTGCTCTCTACGGGGAACGTGCAGATGCCATCGTCTGCGTTCTTGCAAACCGCAGTGTAGTCTTTTTTGACTTGACAGACGGGCATGAGGGGCCGAAGGAAATTCGTCGATTCTCCATGGGTAAACCGCACGGTGTAAATTTAGAAAAGGCGACATGTGCCTCGATGATCCCTCTGGAGGTGGTATACATGTGCCGTGTTCCCGCGATGGCAAAGCCGCCGACCGTCGCTCACCACACATCCAGCAATCTTGGCACGACAGCTTTAACGTCAAAGGCGTCTGTTTCAGATCGGACGATGTATCTTCGGGGTGTTGTGGGATCGAGTGATGGGCGCGTTGACGTTTTTTCAGAGTACGGCTTTGTATTTGGTTTTGTTGCCCATGACGCACCCGTGGTGGCGGTGGCTGTCATATACTGCCCTGAAGACTTGGACGAGGATCGAACTCACCCTTCTTCTGGAGGAACCAATGTCTCTAGGCTTCCACTGAGCGGCCGCGAAGCCGAGCGTTGGTTTGTGAATGTCACAACGGGCATGGGATTTGTCACGTGCAGTTCCGAGGGGGCGATTTATGTATGGAAGCAGCAGGGTCTTATTATGAAGTCAGAAATGTTGGAAAAAAGCGTCTTCCCCTCGCGGACATTTAAGTGGCACGTTGTGCAGCCATCCAATGGTGCGTGGCTGCTGGGTGGCTTGGGCGGTGCACAGGTGTCGCTGTTGGTGCATACAACACCGGGAATGGAACACGAGCTTCGTGTGCGGAGTACTGTGACATTTGAAGATGTCGAGCCACGAGTTAAGTTGCCCGGTTCTCAATTTACCCGAACCACCGCCATTGCTTCTGATGAGAAGTTAGCGCTTGTGGCTCGCGGTAGAAAGGTGTATACCTTTGTGTTTGCAACCGCCAGGTGTGAACTCCTCTTCACTGCGCGTCACACCGTAACAGGCCTGTTTCTCAGTAAATATGGGCTCGTGGCTGCGGCGTGTGACAGTGGGGGTTTGCTGTACGTCGTAATACCCAAGCTCATGTTGGTGCTGGGCCACTACAATGTACGAGGCGGCGGCCCTATTCGCTCCGTCTCACTGCATGTGGCATCACGCCTCTTGACCATCGTCGCAGGAAATGGGTCGGTGGAGGTGGTGTTAATGCCAGAGACTTGGAACGATGGACCCCTCAGCCGACTGCATTACCTCACCGACCTCATGAACTCCACTCCGGCGGCAAAGGCGCTCTATTCCCTTGTGAGCCTGCAGAAACGGCAAGATGATTCATCGTCGGATTTAGTTAACGCAACGCAGCAAAGTGCCGCGCACGAGTCGCTGCTGTTGGCACGCATGGCAATTCCGGAGGAGACGAAACGTTATCTGCGCCCCACCACCGGGCTTGCATAACGGTGTGGTGGTGCAGTGGATTAAAACGTCATTGCAATCGGCACCAGAGAAAATAGAAGTGACAGGGAACCGAAGGAATGGAAGTGTTTTTATTTCTCTTTGTTTGTTTGTTTGTTTGCTTTTTTTTTTGCCATTTAATTTTCCATTTGAATCGTGGCCGATTGTTGACCTCCTTGTGCCGCGTTTGCTGCGAAATTTACCCCGCGGTGTGTGTGTGTGTGTGTGTGTGTGTGTGTGTGTGTGTGTGTGTGTGTGTGTGTGTGTGTGTGTGTGTGTGTGGGAGCAGAGTGGAGTGGAGCGTGAAGTTGATAAAAAGAAGAGTCAGGTTGCAGCGAAGGCGAAGAGGGTGGGGGAAATGAGAGCATGAGGAATATTTATATATTGCTATACATGCATGCACCTATGTGTATATGTATGCATACATATACATATGTATATATGGGTATAACGATGTCTTACCAATGATGTCTGGGGAAGGGGTGAGAGAGAGAGGGAGGTAGAGAATGGCATTACTTCACGGCGGCTGCAAACCACCCATTGCCCTTTTTTTTTTTCTCTCATTTACTTTTGGGTGGTGTTGCCGCCCCAGTCTCATCCACGAGAAGGAGAGGGAGGAAAAAATTAAAAAAGGAAATAAATAAAAGCGGTCACGGTAGCAGCGGGGCCTGCCGTTGTTGAAAAAGGTGACGAAAGGACTGCCGTGTGTGTGTGTGTGTGTGAAATTATGCTGCGCCGTGCGCCGTGCCTCCTTGCGACGAATATTCCGCGAAGTGCGTGGGACCCGGCGCACTTCAACACGAATTGGTCTGACAGCTACAGCACCGAGATTGCGGCCCGTCGTCACTGGCCCGCAAAGAAGTGGTCCATCGGCCTCGAGCCTCGCACCCCACGTGATTGGCTGCAGTTCTCCTATCGCAATCTTGCCTACGCATACAACGGTGCCTTGCGTGCCTGCCAGTCGTTTCCGGAAATGTTGGTATGCTACAAGGAAATGAAGCAGCGCGGGGTCAAGGTGGATGTGGACACAATGAATGTTCTTCTTACACGCGCCGCCCGCTACGAACGGATTCAGGTGGATGATGTTTTTCTTCTTTTTGATGAGCTGACTGCGCTGGGCGCACGCCCTGACATCGCGGCCGTTGAAACACTGCATACAGTACTGGACCACAGTGCCGCAATGCCATACGAGTGGCGAGAGGCCCGCCGTCGGCAGCTGGTGGAGTTGTATAATTGCTTAGCGATGGAGGAGATTGAGAGACTCGCCCCGCATCGTGTGGATCGGCTGCTGAAGGAGCAAATCAAACGTTATCGGGATAACCTGCGTGCACTGAAGGCAAGCCTGAGTCCCTCCGTATACCGACGCTACTTGCACACGATGCATTCCGCCTCGATGCTCTTGGAGGAGGTACATAATTTTTTGTGGGAACTTGTGGAAAGTGATCACCCCGCGATGGAAATTCCTGCGCTACAACTACGAATCCCATTTGTTGGCTCCGTCATGCGGCGTCCCGAAACAGACACTAATGAAA